GGAGTGGTACGTGCCCGGTGTGTCCATGGAAGACCGTGTGGTGCGAAGGAGGGGCGTCGTCCATTCGAACAAGGCAACCTCATGTTTGGCCCCAACATGATGAGTTCCCTTTTCACGTTGAAGCACCCCAAGGAGGGTACTCTGCACATTTAGACGACATCAATCAACCTCTGGTAACAAGAACATGATTGCCTTTGTTTTAAACCCTAAACACCCCGGCCCGGCTACAATCAGGACAGAGGCCAAAAGCCGCACTAAGGTCAAGTTTGAAATTGTCCAACTGGGAGGGAAGTTATCCATTGGCATTGGTTGTTTCGATGTGTCAGGCTCGGTGTCAAAAAACTGATTTGGTCTTAGTCAACTTAAGGTAAGGGTGTTCCCATCAGCCCAGTGGGACCCTGGGCCCAGTAGAGAACGACACAAAGTAGTCCAAGAGAAATCCGAAACCAGTAGAGGGAGGGACACGACACCCCTGATTGCCCCATGCCCACTAGGATATCCGCATACGTTGCCTGTGGCTCATGTGCGTTTGTGTCGAAGCTAGGGACGCCTATAGATCAAGGGAAATAGTTGACGGCAAGCAAGTTCAGTGAAAGTCCAAAGCAACACGACGATTGCACCCACATAATCAAACATGGAACCGGAGTGCGGGGCCGCCCCTCCTTTGACTTGTTTGTGTGTGTGTGTGTGTGCATATGTGATTATCTATATTCATATAGAACTATTATATATATATATATATATGTGTAATGTTGGCGCTTGATTAATAAAGGCACCCCCCTCGAACAATGGAGGCGCCAAAATAAAGGGGGCGCACTTTTGGGACGTCCAAACAATGGAGGATTTTGGGGCCCAATTCTACTTTAGTATGCCACTTCCTTTTTGCAATTCTACTTTAGTCTTGCAGCCACTTCCTTTTTGCAATTCTACTTTAGTATTGCAGCCACTTCCTTTTTGCAATTCTACTTTAGTATTGCAACCACTTCCTTTTTGCAAATCTACTTTAGTATTGCAGCCACTTCCTTTTTGCAATTCTACTTTAGTATTGCAACCACTTCCTTTTTGCAAATCTACTTTAGTATTGCAGCCACTTCCTTTTTGCAATTCTACTTTAGTATTGCAGCCACTTCCTTTTTGCAATTCTACTTTAGTATTGCAACCACTTCCTTTTTGCAAATCTACTTTAGTATTGCAACCACTTCCTTTTTGCAAATCTACTTTAGTATTGCAGCCACTTCCTTGTTGCAATTCTACTTTAGTAGTGCAACCACTTCTTCCTGAGCATATTTTTTGGAATACTACTTTAGTATTGCAACCAATTGAAAGGGGAATGCTTTTAAGCAAGAGGCCACCAATTGAAAGGGGAATGCTTTTGAGTAAGGCAACTGATAGCTTATTTTCTGGGAGGGGGGGTGCCACTATTGTGGTCCCCTAAGACTATCACATTATTGCGGTTCAGTCGGGTCTGTGAGGGGTACCCTTGTCCTGATTGTTTTTTGCATTTGTTTAACACAGTTTAATAAAGAATTTGCAGTTTCAGGGCTAGGGATGGTTTTCAAATTTCACAGGTTTCAGCTGGCTTTGGGTTCTGTGGTTGAGCAACCAATTGAAAGGGGAATGCTTTTAAGCAAGTGGGCCACCAATTGAAAGGGGATGCTTTTAAGCAAGTCGGCCACCAATTGAAAGGGGAATGCTTTTGAGTAAAGCAACTGATAGTTTATTTTCTGGGAGGGGGGATGGTTTGTTAAATTCAAATTGATTTGCGGAGGTTTTTTGAATTTTCCCCCCGGCAAAAAACCCTGTCTATTATTCTGGTCCCCTTAAACAATGGGTGCGAACCAGAATAAGTAAAAAAAACCTCTATTATTCCAGTACCCTTTACTAATCAAGTGCCAACATTATGTAGCCAACATTATGTAGAAATAAATGTATATATATATATATACACACGCATATTCACCCCTTTGCCCCGGCTTCACAACTGGGCAGGATCTTCCAGGCAAATAGCTCCAGGGACGACGCCTGGAAAGAGAGGCCGGCAACCCGACAGTTGGAGCGAGCCGCAAAGCTCGTGTCCTTCGGAGCAACGGGGCTGTTTCTAAAAACCTGACGGAACCTCTGCAGCAAACGGGATCCCAAAATGGTGGGATCCCCAAAAAAGGAAAACCAACGGAACCTGTCTTGGTGGGGACGACTCTCAAATGGTGTCCTTATGTTTTCCCTTTGGTTTCCCGAAACCGCCAACAAACTGGGGGGGTAGCCTCAAACAAGACAAACCCGAATGGGTGTTTGTCTACCCTCCCTCCCACATTGCCATGGCACCTGACAGGTGGTTACTTGAAGAAGAAGTTGATCTTCCAGGTACCCTCCCACAGGTGCTTTGCTTGTGGGAGGGAGTGTACGTTTGGTTTTCCCTTTCTGTTTTTGTCCTTCCCTTGACACTTCCCTTGGTTGTTCTTCGGTTTGCGCGTCGGTGTCCATTCGGTTTCCCTTTGGTGTCAGGTCAGACGGCCATCTTTTCCTTTGCACACAGAACCTGACAGAACCTGCTTCGTGTAAACTCAAGGCGCCTGTATGGGAAGCCAATTTGGGAAGTTAGGCATGGCCAAAGGAGTGTCTGAACCCCTAAGGATCCAACAAACTCCGGCTTGCTTGGCCAATGTGTTGTGTCGCTCATCTCGCCCGCCATCCAAGCCCCCCCGTTGGAGAAGCATGAAACCAAGCATCTGACCCAGTTTTTCTCGCGCTGACACATGCCCATTTTAGGGTTGAACGAAAACATCGGCTCTAGACGTGAAAGTGCGAAAAATCAGTGTTGCTGGGTGGGGTCATCCTGAAGAGTTCCTGCACGTTGATGCCGCGGCATTCATGTATTTTTCTCATGCTATTCCCTCAGTGAAGTAAGCGTTTGGGTTGTTTTGTTCTTAAGCTGTCCATTTAGACTAGTCAGATTCGGATGCGTGCTTGATTAAAGGTGATAGTAGATTCCGCAGCTTTCGCGCAGCAAACAAACCTGAAGCAAACCCAGTCTAGTCCCATGATGAATCCCAAAAGAAGCCCAAAGAAAGCAAAACTGACCCAAAAGACACCCAACGGAATGTCAAAGGAAGTGAGGACTCCAAGTTGAACCCCGGAAACCAAATGACACCAGGACCCAAAGGAAGCCACCACCAACAACCAAAGAATGCAGACCAAAACCAATCAGAACTCAAGAACGGGAACCTGAAGAACCTTGGTTTCCTCGAGAGGATTCTCGAGGTTCTCTGATTGGATTCTATCTTGGGATGCTTGGGTTCTGTCTCCCAGTGTTTGCTTTCCAGGGAAGGGGAGAGCGGTCTTTCAATACTTGTTGGTCAATAGATGGGGTGTCCTATCAATTACTTGAACCGCTCCAAGTGGGGGCTGGCCGGACAGCAAATTGGAGCCTGCGAAGGCCGAAGATGAATTTGCTGGCTTGGCCTCAAGTGAGGGGTTGCGCTCTCGCAAGCAAACACGTACTCACTGCACGACATAGCCCGGGTCAGAGCCTGCTCCATGATCCATTGGTTAGGCTTCCCGTTCGAGCGAATTCTTGTTCTCGTTGGCTTGCAAAACGGCGCCTTACTCTTACTCCCTTTTGGGCCCTTGTGTTATTTGCGCTGTCTACTGACTCCCTGGCTCAGCCGGGACACCCACAGCATGAGGGCTGGGAAAAATAAGTACGCCCCACGCTTTGAAAGGAAACCAAGCGGGATGTCTAAACACCCGTTCAACGCGAGAGGTTTGCCCGAACCTGCTCAGAGTGACACATCTCAAGCCTTCGGAGCACGGAGTGGTTGGCCGCATCGCGGTTTTGTATTACAACGTTCAAGCTTGAAAGGCCCGAACTCTTTGCATTGACTATCTTGATGGGACCACGAAGCAAACTGTAAAAGTGTTTGTGACTGCATTACGCAGGATGATCGTCCAGGCTGCGATTTAGGCTTGGGAAGCTGCTTGCGAGGTGTAAGAGCGAGTGGGAAATGGTCCACACGCTGCTTCTGCGAGACGTGGCTTGGCTGCACTGCGAATGTGCAGCGATATATGTTCGAGATGTTGGAAGCACATGCTTCATTGAGCCTTGAACGTGCTTGTGAGGTTGCTTACGCGGGGTCTTCTGGGATGGTCATGGATCTGATTTTAATTGAAGTTCGACTGCCACCATCTGACTGTAGCAGACCATGCGACAAAGCTCCAAATTTCCTTGAATCCGGCAGGAAGGTTTACCCTCCCTCCAGTGCCACTAACATAGATTTTTGGGCGACGTGTTGCGACGTGTTCCTTCGAAGAGGACCTGTCAGATTGGGTGGGTAAAGCAAAGAACACACAGAAAACAAGGCTGCATGCGGACGATGTCTCCCCGCCACCCGCAGCAAAACACAAACAACTCTAACTTCTCCCAGGTCTTGGAAGATCCTCATGGCAAATGGCAGAGTCACTTTCGTTCGTTCCAAAAAGGGTTTTCTTCAGGGTATTTGTGGGGTTTTTGATTGCCCTCCTTCCGGCAGGAAGTGGACGTATCACGTCCTTGGAGGCCATGGGCTCCTGCAGACTCTCATGGGGGTTGCGTGAAAATGGCAATTCCAAGCCTGTAAAACTAGTAAACAGATCCCTATTAATATGACCCTGAGTTGATGGACATTTGTTGGAAAGTAGAAAAGTTTTGTTTAGTCCCCCAACTCGAAAGGGATCTGTGCCTTGCCGAACATGAGCCAAAAACCAAACCGGGCCGGGAGCTTCGCTCTTAGGAGAAGGTCGGCCTGGAGGAGCCACTGCGGCAGGTTGGCAACTCCGCCCAACGTCGGAGTTCGGTGGAGCAAACGCCCCGTGGGTGTTCCCTGTTGCCTTATGGGGTGTGTCTTTGATTGTTAGGGAACCCCTCAAAATTGTGCTTGTGTGTTTGCTTTTTGGTCACACTTCCCCAGTTAGCGGACTTGTAACTTTTTTGTGTGGGGATCATTTTAGTGACAAACAGAAGTCTGGGTGCTTTTCTGATCAGTTCACTCAATCCACCCTGGAAGTGAGATGGATGCTGTATTTTTTTGCAAGTTACAAGTGTCCATGCGTGCTTTCGGCTTTAGTTGCCTCTGTTTCAATGCTGTCAAAGCTGTATTTCAGAGTGATACTGTAACGCGTAAAGTAGGGTAACATGTTATCTGGCCTCTGAGCATGTTATCAGTAATCCCTCCCCCTTGTCTGACTGACAATAACCTCCCCTCCCCCCCACCAAAAAGATGAAAGAAACAGAGTCACAACACCCAGGAGGCAATCAACTCTGAGCAGTAGGGGCTGGCTCGAGGGAGATTTGACAATGTTTAGATTTCGTTTTGTATTGATTTGTATTTATGTGCGGGATCAGTCACCAACGGTTCCAGGCTGCTATTGTTAAGTAGATCATACAAAATCATGTCCGAATGCTTGCTTCTGTTCGGGTTCTCGGTAAGTGAAGATGCGGTCTTTCTTCAACGTTGATTAGGGGGTCTGGAAAATCTGGGGAGTCTGGGGAGTCTGGGCGTTTCGTTGCGGGTCTAGGAAAGCAAGCTGCGCCGGTTGGCTAAGCAATGGGCCGCCCAGAGAGCAATTGCAGACTCATTCCAAAGAGTCTGTCCTTTGCCAGACCGACAAAGTTGGCCCTGATTCAACACTTCCTTCGATTGAGAGTGCCTCATCTCAGGGGTCAGGCGAAAGAATCTTTGGCTTCGGAATCCCTCGCCTCTCAAAAACACATGTTTTGCAAGAAACAGCAAGTGTTCGTCGGACTCTAGATGTGTGTTGGTGCCAACGGAATGTGCATCTAGCTAGTTCTGAACACAGCCCTGTCCGAACACATATTGAGCCACCAACTGTGTCTCGACGAGTGACTCGATTTGCCAGCATTCCAGCTGCGGCCAAATCGAAGTTGGGGCTTTGGTTAGACAACCATTCTTATGAATCACAGATAGCACCTGTAGACATTGTGCCAGGTTCGTCTAGGGGTAGAACGGGTGATGCCATGATGAGGGTCCTCAAGGGTTCCCTCTTCAGATTGTCACTAGTAAGCTGACCGGGATGTTCAAAGACATTGCTGATTCCGTCCCTTGGCTGGCACAAGAGGTTGCATGTGTAGTGTGTTTGTCCATGGGAAGTATGCCAGGATAGATTATATAGCATTTGGCTGTCTTTCTGGAATGGTTGCAAACAAGCAGGAAATGCATGGCCATTGTTTGCCACAACACATTCAGGTGTGCCACTCCGACTTGTTTGTTTAGCCAGACACGAGCATTTAATAAATTTACCTGTCTCACCCAATTCTGTTTCCTTCAAGCACCGTTTCTGACCTGGTTTGGGCCTTTTGTTTGTGTTTGGAAGATTGCCCTTGACACCAGCCAGACCTAAGCCACACGTCATGTGTGTGTGTGTGTGTCTCCCAGGCATCCAGCGCCAGCTGGAGGCGCGGCGAGGCCATGACACCTGGCAGAGGCTGGGAGAACGGCCATAGGTGTTCTACGTTTGGTTGATTTTGGATTGAATCTCTTTAGACTGTAACTGTTGGGATCAGACAAGAGTTCAGAAAAAGTTGAGAACTTGTGGCAGAGGGTTAGCAACAACCAAGTTTGGCGAAACATTCTAAACCAGAACATTTTAAAGGATAGCCAAGAGCCAGGATTGTGGATGTTTTGCTAAAATCCTGAGTTTCAAGAAGGTGCTATGGATTCCGCTGGTTTCAGTTTGGTTTCAAAGATTCCGCAGAGACCTGAACGTTTATTCCCACTTTGCCAGGATGCGAAGCCAGCGAGACATTGCGCGTAAAGCTGAAGCTGGCTAGCATTTCTATGCTTTGAGTTGCTGACAACAGAGTTTTGGGTGGACTAGCATTTTGGAGGTGTGTGGGGATGTTTTTGGCATTTTCCTGAATGGGCCCGGACTGTTTGGCTGGCTTCCCATCGAGAACATGTTTTACTTGCTTTTTTAGTGAACCCAAAAGCATACTAACCATTTGTTTGGTTTCCCCATGTTGAGCAGTGCAGAAGCGCGCCAGCCACCATCAACACCCGGGCAGATAATGGTTAAGAGACAGTCCCAGTCAGAAATAGGTACGGATATCCGCCTTGAGACCATGTTAATACCCGGTTTTGGTTATGACTCTTTTGAGTGTTCCGGTTCGCCCCTTAGCCAGGTCCAAGGATGGATTGTGGCGAAGAATGGCTTACAAACCAACCAGCGAATGAGCCTGCTTGGGAAATTTCCAAACACGATGGTGAGCAGTGTTTGTTATCCATGGCCTTATTGAAGAGGCCAAGTTTGGTAGCCCGATTTTGTATCGGATTCTCAGACATTGTGCTCAGGGAGCTACAAACAAGGTCAGGTCCCGCCTCCTTACCAACAACTTTGTAAGACCACAGGGTTTATCCTACACGTGTTTTGGATGACCTCGTCTCTATAGAGCCCCACGAGTCCATGCAAAAAATGCGTGGCTTTTACACCATCCCAATGAATTGCTCGTGAAAACCGAACTCGCGGCGAAGCCCCTCAGAACGGCCGGCTTTCTGTGGGTCCCAGTTCTGTCAGGACACTCCCCTGGGTTCAATGAAGGCCGCAATCCTTGCAACTAGCCGAGGGTTTACATGCAGGCACAGGGTTGTTTTCATGACAGGCGAAGTTGTTGTGTTGTATCATTGATCGAAGATTTCGTGGATGTGTTTTCCGTGTTTCGTTCACAAACCCATATTTGGCACTCAGATTAGAACCAATCCATTACACCAAAACATCGCCTATAAACTGACTTGGCAGCCTCAGGTCTGCAAACTGAAAAACGCTTTCCAGCTTATGCTCAGGATGTGTGTGTGTGTGTGTGTGTGTGTGTGTTCCAGACCACGCAGGCCCCTGCAAGAGCTACCTGTTTCAGATTGGAGCTCTTTTCCGCGGTTTGCCAATTTCCCGTCTCCTCAAGTTAATTCTGGATGTTCCCCGATATTTATTTGTCAGTTAAGTAATTCAACACCAGCGTCTGGTGCAATGCGCAGGGGGGGGGGGGGGCATGGCATGTCAGCGGAGGTTACCGGAGCTGCAAAAGATCGAGACGTGGCTTGGAGAAGAGGTGTGCTGGAGGTGGAGCAAAAGTTGCAGTCAGGTCAGCCCCTGTCCCTGTCAAAGCGAAACCAAAAGGGGGTTGTTTGAGCAACGAATTTGAACATAGTATGACTGTGGCTCAAAAAGATGTACCCAAATGGCCCCTTGGCAAGTGGAAGCAAAGACCAACACCTGCGTACAATTCAGCTCTTGAAAATTTTGAGCCGCAAAGGTCAAAAAGGTCTCGCCTTTTTTTTGCTGAGCATAGTGCCCCACACCTGGGCTGCCGCGAAGAAAGAAAAAACGCGGACGGCCCAGTTTGAGGCTGGTCTGCGGCAGCCCAGAGGACCAGATCACGCCGGTGGAGCTGCTGGAGAAGATGGCCAACCGCGTGGGCTGTGAGAAGAAGCTGGACTTTGAGGAACCCGCAACGCCCGAAATTTGATGCTGTGGTTGTCACAACCTGCAAGGACCCTTTGGGTTTCCGTTCTTTGGTCTATTTTGAGTGGGCCCCAAAAGATGATCACCTTTCATTTCCAGGTGCTTGAGGGTAAACTCTTTGTATTGGGAAGCCAAAGCAGATGGCAGCGATTTTAGGTTAAGGGGCAAGTAAGGGATTCCCCACCCCTTTAGGAGTTGATTCATTGTCCATTATTTTCAACCATCGTTTTTTGTTTTTTTTTAAAGAAGGATCCCTGGAAAGAATGGAAATGGAAGGTACCCCTAGAGATATGGTTTCCTCGTTTCCCTTTGCGCGCGAACAGTAGCCGACGGCAGCCTCCAAGAAAGACATACCCAGTTCCAGGGAAAGTACCCCCGAACCAAACCTGGAAGCCGCCAGAGAAGAAAAGGTGACAGGAGCGATCAGATTCGAATATCAAAAACTCAAAGATAGGTTGTTCCCGTTTGTTCTGCATGGAAAGCTGCAGTTTGGATGTGTTTTTTCCTTAGCTGGTTTCGACTACCGCATTGCCAGAAATGGATCAGTGTCAGTGTCTGTTTTTGATGACGCCTTCAAGATGAGGGGTTCAGTCAATTGTCCTTTGAGGACAACAGCGCCGAAAGTTGAATATTGCTGGGCCGAAAGTCAGACAGCATCACCCTATTTACGAGCATGTTCTAGGCCCTTTCACTAGCCGACAGAACCTGCATGATCGAGCTGGTGCTACACTTCAAGCTGGGCCGAACTGAGACCCCGAGTCAAGCCATGATTCGCTTCTCCCAACAGCAACTCCTGAGCAGAAAAAAACTTGGGACACTTCGGGCTGTTGGGGTGAACACCTTGGCGACCAAACTGCGACCTAACCTCCAAGAGAACACATGGGTGGGTTGCCAGAACGTGGAGGGGTACCCTGGACTTTAGAGGCTGGCTATGGGAAGTCGAGTCAACTGCAGTCGTTTCTTTGCAGGGCGGGCATGCCTTCCCTGCGGCGGACGCCAAGTGCATGCCGTTCATCAACGACTGGCTGCGGAGGCCGGTGGATGCCAACGATTTGTTTGCAACGATTTCGAAGCTGCAAAGAGCTGCAAGGGGGACGGCTAAACCTTGTGATGGGGGCGGGAGTTGTGCTGTACCCGTATAAGTTGATTTCCGCACGATCCGCATTGCTAAATGGTGCTGGTTTCCCTTGTGGTATTGCACTACGGATTGCGTGTCGGATTGGGGATTGGGCACCCATTCAACGACCCAGAAGATTGCAAGGGGAACAGGCGTACTTCTGGAATTTGCATAAGCAATTCTAGAAGCAACCCTGGCAACTGAGGTACACGGGCTACTCCGCCAGCAAACGAGCCGACCCATTGTAATTTCCAACCGTTTCCACGCATCACCAGCTCACCGAAAGGGGACAGAACGATACGACTACATCCCTATGGATGAATGACCTTGCCCTTTTTTCTCTCTTTCCTATGGTCTTTTGAGCAGATCAGCCAC